GCACCAAGAGCTTGTAACACTCCAAAGAGAAAGGAAAAATTGAAATCGCATCATATGACCCCTTTAACCCCACCATCAGGGACGTGACGGAATCATTCACCACTAGAGGGTGCGGTGATCTACGCATTTAATACAGCATATTATTCACACAACAAACCAATGCATTTACAAGCGGCACAACATTTACATTAGGCTACAGCAGTCTAAAATGCACTTTATTGGTCAATCAATTAATCTAATAGAACTTCAACGAATTAAATTGTTTGGTTTAGGGTTTTTGTGATAGAGGTTACATTTTAAACAATATCAAGATTGATTTCGGTGTAAATTCCAGAAACAACAGGAAAAGTCTGAAAGATTCGCCATAACCTGCCTCCACATGAAGCTTATGTCAACAGATCCCCAGTGACGTAACACTGGAATGACAAGTTGAATAGAAGGTTTGCCGGGAACGCTTTACAATGAGGCTTAAGAGTGTGGGAAAAACTGAAGGGGTACGAATACTTTCACAAATATATATATATACTGTATATCTCTTAAGCCAGTTATTTCTATCTTTTGCAGTAGTGTGTCAGTAGGAAATATCAGTTTACATTTCCAAACATTCCTTTTGCCAATAATTGTAATAATCAAGTGAGATCTTTGTAAGCACAATGATGACCTCACCTTTATCCAGTTCGTCTAAGATTACATGAAGAAACAGAAAAAACTGAGACAGGCTAAATCCGGAAGAACTGTGGCAATGTCTCCAAGAAACCTGAAGAAACCTATACCTGCAAAGCTACCTGAAAAACTATGTGCAAGTGTACCTAGGACAAAAGCTGTTTTAAACGCACCAAATGTTGATGTAGGTTTCTTGGAGACATGGCCATTTTTTCTGGATTCTGTCTGCCTCACTTTTTTCTGTTTCTTCATGTAATCCCAGACGGACTATGTACTCCTGGGCCAAGCCAAAAATAAATTTTCTTTTAATGGTGCACATTCTAACCACAAATCACTGGTCAGGAAAGAATTGCACAAAGTAGCCTAACTTGGTACAGGATAGCCTTTCTGTTTGTTTTCTCTAAATGTTTAAGCAGAGTGGGTAAATTTACAGACAGCTTTTTACAGAAAGAACAGTCAATGTTGTTCCACTCAATACTGATGACTTCAGACAGTTCAGGAGTACACATAAACCCAAATGCTCAAAATAATTAATTGGTTTGAGCAGGGCAAACTTAAATTAGTTCACTCAATTAACTTTACTTTTTTGAGTATTTAGAACTTTTGAGTTCATGAAACTGACAAATTTAAAGTAACTTGAATTGTTTAATTGTTTTGATATTAATTAACTTGTTTCTTTAAATTTAAACTTAAATTTAACTGAAACTGGGCTGGGATTTCTATTTCCCAGCATGCTTTGCCATGACACTCGAAAGGGAGAGTAAATGCTAAAATTGTGTTGTATAATGTTTTTTTTTGTGTGTGTGTGTGCAAGATTAAAGTTAAGTGGGAAATTTAATAGGGTTTAATGTTTTGCTATGCTAATTTAGAAGAGTTTCAGTTATGTTGGGTATTTGGGGGGTTACCTTCATGGTGAAGAGTGGAGCTTGGTTTGAGAACAGATATATGGTCAATGCTTTGTGTCGTTTTTACTAATTCAGCAATCAACTGAATTAGTAATGAAGATTAATGATAAATTGAAGTTAAATGTATGAGAACTATTTCAGGTTAAGAGTAGTCATGGTTAATGTGAATACTCTTTATTGGGGTTAAAACTGGACTCTGACCAGGCCAAACATGAGCCTGATGAACTTGTTCTCAAGCCATGTCTTTGCAGTGTGGGCAGGCGGCAGGGAGTACTGTCTTGTTGAGGGGGGAAAAAAACATCTAATTGTTCCTCTTTTGATAACTTTTCAATTGTGGGAAGCAGGCCATTCTGCAATATTCTCTTATACTCCAAAGCATCGATTGACTTTTCACAGTGAAGCAGCTTACCAGTACCAGCAGCTGAAAAGACTCCTCACATCACGACACTCACTCCTCACACACATCTTCCTCCATCCTTCACTGTGGTAGAGATGCATCCATTATTGTATTTCTCATCAGATCTTCAAAGACACCGCTCTGAAGCAACACCATGCAATCCATGGTTTACCATGATTCATCAATCCACATCACTCTGCTGAACTTCCCATATTCTGCCAAAATCTTCATTCTGTCTTTGATGGTTTTTTTCTGGGGCAATGGGTTTTTAAGGAGTGCATTTGCTTATTCTTGCAAATTTCCTAATTTCTCATGAATTTGTGGTTAAGACCATTAAAAACGTTTTTCTATTTTAATATACATTAAAATCTAATTTATTTCTGTGCTGCAAAGCTGGATTTTCAGCATCATTATTCCAGTCTTCAGTGTCACATGATCATTCAGAATTCATTCTAATATGCTGATTTATTATCAATGCTGGAAACTGTTATGCTGCTTAATATATTTTTTTGAACCTGTGATACTTTTTTTTCAGGATTCTTTGATTAATAAAAAGTTAAAA